TAATCTTAAGGTGAAATAAGCTGGGGCTGGTAATCTTAAGGTGAAATAAGCTGGGGCTGGTAATCTTCAGGTGCCCCGAGTACACTGTTACGTCAATGGGTCTTTACTCGAGGTAATGTTCAGTGGCCAGAGAGGCAACACGATATCTTTGATTTTGTTCCCTGGGATTCAATATTTATCTTCTTTTCCGTCTCTCTCTCTCTCCTTCCTCATTCTCTATCTTCCATCCTTCATCCTTCCCAGTTCCCCATTCCATTATACTCTCTCTCTCTCTCTCCATTTTACAACAAACAAATACATTAATGAATAAATAAATCCAAGATAAATAAATGAGAGGCAAAGAAGAAGAAAAAAGATACGAGAAGACGAATTGTTCTGTAAACATCGTCACTAGGAGTAATTCTTCAGGAAAACAGTGGCCATTGTGTGTTGGGGAGGGGGCAGCAGGGGGGCAGCAGGGGGGAGGCGAGGAGGGGGGCAGCAGGGAGGGGCAGCAGGGAGGGGGCAGCAGGGAGGGTTACAGGGGGAGGGGACAGCATAAAGGGAGGTTACGGGAGGGAGCGCAAAAGGAGGTTACAAGGGAAGGGGAGCAGCAGAAGGAGGTTACAGGGGAGGGACAGCAGAAAGGGAGGTTGCAGGGGAGCAGCAGAAAGGGAGGTTACAGGGGAGGGGGGCAGCAGAAAGGAGGTTGCGGAAGGAGGAAACAGGAGGTGAAGTAAGAGGAAGGAACAGGGTATGGAGGAGAGGAAGAGGGAGGGGCAGGCGCAGCAGCAGAGCGGATGTGGCCAGGCCGGAGCCTTGGGCGATGGCAGGCAGGTAGGCTAGTGGGTGGACACTATCCATCAGGTCCCCAGCAGCGAGCAACACAACATACTCTCTGCCCCAACACGTAGTTACTCCCACTACCTGTGGCCTACTCCCCTACCTGTAGCTACTCCCCCTACCTGTAGCTACTCCCACTACCTTGCTACTCACTACCCATAGCTACTCCCACTACCTGTAGCTACTCCTTACCTGTAGCTACTCCCCTACCTAGCCTTCTCCCCTCCTCTCCCACACCTGCTTCTCCCACTACCTGTAGCTACTCACTGCCTGTAGCTACTCCCACTACTGTAGCTACTCCCCCTACCTGTAGCTACTCCCCCTCCTGTAGCTACTCCCCTGTGTAGCTTCTCCCCTCACCTGTGGCCTCTCCCCCTGTCTACTCCCCCTCCTGTGGCTATCACTACCTGTAGTTACTCACTACCTGGCTACTCCCCTCCTTGCTCTCCACTCTATAGCTTCTCCCCTACTGTAGCTACTCCCCTACTTAGCTTCACTCCCCTCCTAGCTACTCCCCAAGCTGTCCCACTACCTGTTACTCCCACTCCTGTAGTTCTCCCACTACCTGTCTCTCCTACCTGCTACTCCCCCTACCTGTAGCTACTCCCACTACCTGTAGCTACTCCCACTACCTGTAGCTACTCCCCCTACCTGTAGCTACTCCCACTACCTGTAGCTACTCCCACTACCTGTAGCTACTCCCACTACCTGTAGCTACTCCCACTACCTGTAGCTACTCCCACTACCTGTATTTCTAAAGCACACCTTCACGAGACTCCCCCCACTTCTTACGTCACACTGTCCTCTCGTCACAGGTACGGTACGGAGTCATTAGTTATGATGTGAAAGAAGATTATTAGGGGTTGAAGAAAAAGTGGTGAAACTGAAATACAGTAGTAGAAAGAATCTGGGCTCAACCAAATCGCTTCATCTTTCCTACTAGTGATTTATCTGTGTTCTGCTCCCTTGGGTCGTCAGACCTTTGTATTAATATTGGTTTATTCATATAATGCTGCTTATTATTATTATTATTTTTTTACTTATTTATTCATTTGTTTTTATTTATTTATACCTGTGAGGATAAAAATTATCCTCACAGGTATAGGAGCACCACTCTCTAGTTCTCTCGGATCACCTGAAGATTAACCACCCTAACGCCAACCTAATCAAACTTAATCTAATCTAACATAATCTAACGTAACCTAACTATCTAACTTAATCTAACCTAACCTAACCTTAAAAATTTAATATAACCTAACCGAGTCTAACTTAACCTAAGCTTAACTTAAAAATCGATTCTAACTTAACGTAATCTAACCCAACTTAACCTACCCCCCCCCCCAGGTAGCGTTAGGGTATTTAATCAAGAGAGAAAATAAACTGGGAGGGGGGACTAATCTTCAGGTGATCCATCCTTAGAAACTGGTGAAAGGTCCCGGTACAAGAGCCTCTCACCTGTCAACAGAGTGCTAATCAGCCGTTTTACCTGATGATACGAATTATTACAGGTAAATACCCTCAAGATTTAGGGGAGGACAGGTGACTTACGAATTAGGGTAGGTTTAAGTTGGGTTTAAGTTTAATTAGGTGAGGCTCCAGAGATTAACTTAAGTCAGGTTTAACGTAAGCTTGTATTAGTCGTGGATTAAGATAGGACAGGTAAGGTTAAGTGACTTAACTTAAGTCTCGATTTACCTTAAAGTTTTCATTAAATCATTAGACATGTAATAATCTATAACCTAGTTGTCTCATGTCTACAAATTAAGTCTAATTATAATACTAATTACCCTAGTACACACACACACACACACACTAACAGTTGAGGTTAGTGATCAAATCTTACGATAAACGTGTAAACAGACTATGGAGGTGGAGTATGAAAATCACACTAATATATAATGACAAAACCAGTCACTGAAATATGACATTAGTTAGTATGATAGAGCTAGTTAGTATGATAGAGCCAGTTAGTATGATAGAGCCAGTTAGTATGATAGAGCCAGTTAGTATGATAGAGCCAGTTAGTATGATAAGAGTCAGTTAGTATGATAGAGCCAGTTAGTATGATAGAGCCAGTTAGTATGATAGAGCCAGTTAGTATGATAGAGCCAGTTAGTATGACAAGAGCTAGTTAGTATGACAGAGCCAGTTAGTATGACAGAGCCAGTTAGTATGATAGAGCCAGTTAGTATGATAGAGTCAGTTAGTATGATAAGAGCCAGTTAGTATGATAGAGCCAGTTAGTATGATAGAGCCAGTTAGTATGATAGAGCCAGTTAGTATGATAGAGCCAGTTAGTATGACAAAGACAGCTGGTACAACGAATATAAACTCTACCACCAAAGAGGGATGGAGGTAAGGAGGGAAGAAAGGGTGGTGAGGGAGGGAAGGAAAGAAAGGAGGGAAGGAGGAAAGGAGGGGAAGAGGGAGGGACGGAAGGAGGGGGGTGAGAGGAGATGTAGAGGTGTGTGTGTATTTAGCCAGCGCCCGCCCTCCTCCCTCCTCCTGGGCTGCCCCAGACAAAGGAGCCACGCCCTTCACCACCTCCCTCACCGCTGTCCCACTGTCTCTCACCTGCTTCTCCCACTCATCTCCCCGCCACTAGCACTCTCATCTCCCCGCCACTAGCACCTTCATCTCCCCGCTACTAGCATCCTCATCTCCCCGCCACTAGCAGCCTCACCTCCCCGCCACTAGCAGCCTCACCTCCCCGCCACTAGCAGCCTCACCTCCCCGCCACTAGCAGCCTCACCTCCCCCCGCTACTAGCACCCTCACCTCCTGTTACTAGCAGCCCTCACCTCCCCTGCCACTAGCACCTCACCTCCCTTCGTTACTAGCAGCCTCACCTCTCCCCTGCCAATAGCAGCCCCACCTCCCCCGCTACTAGCACCCCACCCTCCTGCCCACTAGCACCCCATCTCCCCGCCACTAGCACCCTCACCCACACCGAGTATGTCACCTCACCCCCAACCTGCTGGGTCCTCTCCACACACACACCTCACTCACACACACACACACACACTGCTAATGACCAAACACTTTCTTCGACTAAAATAAATAATAATAATAATAAAGTCGACCGTCACGCCAATAAACATTCCATGATTTTCGACACAATAGCCACCTTCCCTTCTACTCACACACAGGCCCACGCCCACACTAGTCACGCCCATATCCCACTCACCCACTGTTGCTACACTCCGCTGTCATGCCCACATTAAGCCACCATTCCCAGCACTAAGCCACCATACCCACACTAACCACGTCCACACCCACACTAACCACACCCAAACCCACACTAACCACGCCCGCACGTCCCCAAGGGTTTGAGCGTGGAGAGCTCGATGAAAATCACTCCACCAAAGTTTCCAAATTACAAAACCTGGCGAGATTAAGGGGAAAGTTGGGAGCAGGTAAATTTAAGGCTGCTGTAACTCTCTGTGTGAAGGTTGGGCCCAGAATTCCCTTGTGTGTACGCCAGGAGAGAGAGAGGTGACACACACACACACACTGGGGCTTGGTAAACACCCACCTGACGAAGACGTATAGTGGTTTAACATAACAAAAGGAGAAGGGAGAAGAAAACACTGACGAGAAAAAGGGAACAGCATAACACACAAGAGGTTTTACGAAGGAGGTTAAGAGAAAGAGGAAGGAATTGGTAAAAAAAAAAAACACTTTGCCTGACGAAGACGAAGAGAAGGACCAAAAATCAAAAGGAGTGAGAAGAAGGAATCATTAAACGGCGGTAATACATACAGGAAGATAATGAGGAAGAGGAGGAGGAGGAAGATGACAAGGTGGAGGAAATGTCAGTCAATACCTGCCTGACGAAGACGAGACTAAGAAAACAAAGAGGAGGAGGAAGAAGAAGAAGAAGAAGAAGAAGAAGAAGAAGAAGAAGAAGAAGAAGAGGAGGAGGAGGGCACAGAGGCTTAATGGAGACAAAGAGTATATTAAGAGATAGAAGAGGAGGTGACACAGAGCTTAAGTAAATACCTCATAACGAAGACGAATTGGGGGAAGACTCAACAGGAGGAGGAGGGTGACGGGACGAGAGAAGGGAGGAGGAAGAAGAGCATAAGAAGAAGAAAAAGAAGAACCTTAAATATATTCATAATCAAAAGCAAAGAGGAGAGAAATATGAAAACACACACACACACCGTTGATAGATACCTGCATAGCGAAGATGAAGAGATGGGAAGATGTCAAGCGAAGTAACAACCAGTCTTAATGGAGTCCAATTCTCTTAACACTTAATCAATTATACGTCCTCAGCAACCAGAGATGTTCCCAAGTGTTATAGATGTAATAAAACGATATAATTCACACAAAATAAAAGGGGATTGGAGAAGAGAGGGATTCCAGTCGACGGTGGGATTTGGGGATTATTATTTTTTCTTAAGGGGAATAGCTTGAGCTCCCAACTTTCAGAGATTAATTACCACACTGTAGATTAACAAGTGTTGCTTAATACACACTTCACGATTACTTATATAAATCAGTCAATTAGTTTCAAGTTCAATAAGTTCAGTGTAAAGTATAATCAACTGATGAGAGATAAGAGAGAAAACAAGATCTTTTCGAAGTAAGTTTACGTATGGCAGAGGGTCAACAACTCGACACAAATGATGAGACTATACTGACGACGATCATGAGTCCTCCTGTCTCTTTCAGTACGGTACTCTGGGGTATCCCGTGTGTGTGGTGAGGAGGAGGCATTTCCTGTCTTAGTGCGCTTGACCGAGGTGCGAGGAGGGAGCTTGGAGGGGTGAAGGATGAAGGTGGGGGGAGGGGGGGGAGGGGGGAGGGGGGGAGAGGTGGGTATATAATGTAGACAGAGAGAGGAAAGAAAAGGGATTAGAGGTCTATAGTTCCTTGGGTTTTTTCTCTTATTCCCCATCATCATCACATCCTCTACACACCCCCAACTCCCCCCTTCAATCACCACCACACCCCTTACACATCCCAGGTCCCTCTTCACCATCACCACCACACCCTCTACGCCCTCATCACCATCAACACCACCGTTACCACCTCCTACAGAGCTCAGACCCCCCCGACACACCACAGTAAGCCTCGTCTCACACCCACAAGAATGGTTTGTTTACATACACACGTCCAGGTTCACGAATCTTGAAAGTTTCCGACGCTAATTTTTTCTTCCTTCTCTTAAATGGAGATGGGGGAACGGTGACCGACAAGTAGACATATAAAGAGTGTTCATAATGGCGTCAAAGGTACACTGAGACTCTACCTACCTATCTAGTACCTACCTACCTACCTACCTAGCAGTTCTGACACACAGGAAACGTCCCCAATGGCATCAAACGTACACTATGATTCTACCTGCCCTCACCTCAACACCTGTGACAGAACAACACTTTTACAAACACATTCTATGTAATTCCCGACCCATCCACAGCTCTCACGAGGAAAGGGTTAGGAGGAGGAGAAGAGGCGGACACGGAGAAGATCAAAGCAGAAGAAAAATTGGAGTAAAGAAGGTTTATAGGAGATGGAGTGGGCAGGTTGGACCATTGTAAGGGTGAGAAGGGGGGAGGGGGTATGGCTATGGGTGATTCGAGGGAGGGCACAGAGTGAGTATGGTGTAAACGGAGAGGGAATAAAGAGAGGGAGGGGGAATAATGAACAGATGGATATAGTGGGTAGGGGGAGGGAGGGGGATTAGTCTTGGGAAGAGTAAGGGGAACGACTCATGAGGGCGAAGGGAAGGGGGTGAGGGCAGGGGTGGGAGGTAAGAGAGGGGGTAGCAGGGCAAAGGGGGGGTTACGAACAGCTGGGTATGTTGGGGGGAGAGGAGTGCAAGGGGGTAGAAGAGTCGTTTGTCTCGGCAGTAAGGGATGACTCAGAAGGTGGGAGAGGGGAGGGGGTGAGACGGGTATGGGGAAAGAAGAGGGAGGGGGGTGAGGGGGGTGACAAGCTGGGCACAGTGTCTGGTGGAGGGAGGAGAGGAGTAGGTTGACTTCAGATTTCAGCCACACACACAGAGAGAGAGAGAGAGAGAGAGAGAGAGAGAGAGAGTTAACTTGCACATCCTCTCTCTATCTCTCTCCCACGACGGTACACTGGTCATCAGTACACGTGTGAACACTCCCAGGACGCCTTCCCTTCTCTCAGGCCTGACCCAACAGCGTCATATCCTTACTCCCATGACGTCACTCTGTCCCACGGGTATACCCACCTATCTCTTTGTCACTTCCTGTCACGTCAAAGTGTCAAGGTTCTCGAGACTGACCTACTACTACTACTACTACTACCCTACTACTATTACTACAGCATGCAACCTCCCCTTATAGCCATACCTTCTCCACATATTCTGTCACCTAACCTACCCTACCTCCTCCTCCTCCTCCTACCACTACAACAACAACCACAACTAATCCACGTGTGTCCAAGGCTACTCCCACACCTGAAAACAAACTTACAAGACATAGCTACACACAAACCTGTAACATAACCCACATGTAAGGCAGTATTGTACAAGCATGAAACTGACTCATTCATCCGTGACTCACCTACTCATAAAACTCTGGAGGCGGTGAGTCATATGTCTAAACTCTTCTAGAAGTGACTCGGTGACTGACAAACAAAGCCTCAGGTGACTCATAAATGACTCCTAAAAGTGACTCATTTGACTGACATACAAGCCTACAAGTGACTCAAACGACTGAACGAACTGCAAGCCTCGAAGTGACTCATGACTGTATCCTATAAAGTGACTCAAACTCAAAATCGTCACAAAAACAGCGATACAGCAAAACAGTAGTGGTACAGAGAACAGCAACAGCGGTACACGACAACAGCGGTGGTACAGGTTTCCACTAATCAGCCGGGGACCCTCCTCCCTCAATCCAACCTCATACTGAAGGAGATTTTTTTCTGTTTGCTAAAAAAAAGTTTGGATTACCTGAAGATTAACCCCTCCAGGGTTTAACCACCTGATTAATCACCCTAACGCTATCGTAACACTTATCCTAACACCCTGCAAGGTCGGAGCTAAGATGTTTAGTCATTAGGTGAAATAAACTAGGGTGACCAATCTTCAGGTGATGCAAATGATCACATACACACACACACACGCTGAGAGAAGCAAGGACGCTGATAATGAGTGTTTGGACTGAGGCCGTGTAATCTGTTGACTGTTGGCTTAGTTGGGCGGTGTGTGGTTGGGGAGGGGAGGGAGGAGGGGGAGGGGTAGTGTGAGTTTGTGCAACGACGGAGATAGGGAAGGGGGTAGTTAGTTAGTTTGTTTGTTGTGTGTGTGTGTGTGTGGTAATGGGGAAGGAAGTTGTGGAGATGTACTTTAGGAAGGCGCTACCACAACTACCACAACCACCACGATGCTGAGAACACAACAACAACAACAACCTGTGTGCTTCCCTTTCCTCCTCCTCCTTCCTCTCCTCTTATCTCCTCCTGTTTCTCCCTCCCCGGAAGTCCACACAGAAGCCAATGAAGAGCACACACACACACACACACACACACACACACACACACACACACACACACACACACACACACACACACACCTTGTATTACCTCACGAATCTTAAGACAGGTTATGTTAAGTAAGGGTAGGTTATGTTAGGTTAAATAAGGGTAGGTTAGGTTAAGTAAGGGGAGGTTGGTTAAGTAGGGGTGTTAGTTGTAAGTGGGGGTTGGTTAATTGTGGTTGGTAGGTTAGGTGAAGTAAGGGTAGGTTAGGTTAAGTAAGGGAGGTTAGGTTAAGTAAGGGTAGGTGAGGGTAGGTTAGGTGTAGGGGTAGGTTAGGTTGGTTATGTTGGGTTGTGTAGGTTAGGTTAAATAAGGGTAGGTTAGGTTAAGTAAGGGGAGGTTAGGTTAAGTAAGGGTAGGTTAGGTTAAGTAGGTTAGGTTAGGTTAGGGTAGGTTAGGTTAGGTTAGGTTAAGTAAGGGGGGTTAGGTTAGGTTAAGTAAGGGTAGGTTAGGTTAAGTAAGGGTAGGTTAGGTTAGGGTAGGTTAGGTTAAGTAAGGGGAGGTTAGGTTAAGTTAGGTTAGGTTAGACAACTTAACATATCCTACATCAACCCCCAAAATAAACAAGTCAACCATTACACCTTCACCCCATTTTCTTTCACCAGATAACAGACGAAGGACATTTAATTAAAAGGTCAAGAAGATAAACTCACACTTCGTACCAACCACCACTTACGACCTTCAACGACCCAGATAACTACAAAGAAAGTGTTGCATTATATCCTGTCTGTCACCTCCCTATGGCCTGGTACCTAACCTAACTTAACCTAACCTAGCTTAACTTACACTAACCTACCCTTACTTAACCTAACCTAGCTTAACTTACCCTAACCTTACTTTTATGTATTATGCAACCACAACTACCAACCCCCTCCTAAGCAACCACAACTACCATCCCCTCCTATGCAACCACAACTACCACCCCCTCCTATGCAACCACAATTACTACCCCTTTCTATGCAACCACAATTACTACCCCTTTCTATGCAACCACAATTACCACCCCTCCTATGCAACCACAACTACCACCCCTCCTAAGCAACCAACTACCACCCCTATGCAACCACAATTACTACCCCCTTCTATGCAACCACAACTACTACCCCCTTCTATGCAACCACAACTACCACCCTCGCCCTCAAGTACACCAGCACCACCACCCAGCGTCTCAGGGAGTATCAATATCACCCCTCCCACAACACCACCACCCACTGCGGGGGAGGGGGGAGGGTTATGGCTGCCACATGAACGTTCTGTGTGAGAGGAGGGGGTGAGAGGAGGGGGAGAGGAGGGTGAGAGGATGGGGGGTGAGGGGGTGAGAGGAGGGGGGAGAGGAGGAAAATGAGAGGAGGAGGAGACACAATGATTCTCTCTCTCTCACCTTGAGATAAACTTGACCATAACACTGCCAGAGATGACAACAACCACACATCAATAATTGTGGCTTGTTTGTCCTTCCACGTGCAGGAGGTGGAGTCTCTCTCTCTCTCTCATTGCGGAGGGGAAGAGTAACTAAGGAAAGAGATGGGGATCATGGGGTGTTATGTGTACTGGTCAAGGGAAGGGCTGAGGGCTGCCTAGTATGGGGAAAGTTGGGCCGCTGCAGTTTCCTTCATCCTTATGTTCTAAAATGACTCGTGTGAACTGCCAAGGAGGAAAACGAACTGTATGTACTGGGAGGAACTGGGAGGAGACCTGGAGTATCAGGTTAGAACTGGGGAGATAAGACCATGTGAACCGGTTAGAGGACGGAGGGAGGGAGGGAGGGAGGGTCATATGTACTGGAGAGATTGAGGAAAAAATTCATGTGTGCACTGGATGGGTGAGACAAAGAGAGCAAGTGCACTCACTGGGATGGCAGTGGGAGTGGAAAGGGGGGCGTTCATGGAAGAGAGAGAGAGGAGAGAGGGGGGGAGACGTGGAGAGGGAGAGAGAGAGGAGAGAAGGATGGGGGAGAGAGTGAGGGGGCGGGACGTGCATGTAACACTAGCCGTCTTTGTGCAGCGTTATGCATTAATCGGCACCGCCCCCACCACCACACTGATGAGGAGT